CCAAAAGATACAGATACAATATGAAACACAAAAATCTTACACACAAATAGAAAGATAAAGGACAAATTCAGAAAACACACAGCCTCTAGCCCAAAGAAAATAATCTCGAACAGACAATCCAACCGATGAAATAAACAGCAATTAAAACCCCCTAAAAAATCCGTCATCTCAACCGAATACCACACTACAAGAGAACTATACCTATCTGCAGAAACTATCCACACATCGAGAAGTAAGAAACCCCGACACCTTTTAAACGAATTACCTATACCAAAACCAGAAAGATAACAAAGAAAACACAGACCAAAACCTAATGAATAGTACGATGCAAAAATTTCAACAAAAATCTTAGCTACGATCCAACACTATCAAAAATTACCACCACGACCAATTGGCTCATCCAGTGTAGCGCATGGTCCAACATAACAAACTATAAAGCAACACCACATAAACAAAACAAGCCACAATCTTCATAATCCAGAAAAAGCTGACAACAAACTTTCATAACAAACACTTAAGAAAATAGGATTGAGCACCTAAAATGATACAGCTATAACAACCATACCAACCATACTGAATTTGAAAATTGAATCATCCCCTTAAAACTGAACCAAGACAAGGCTGCCCATACTCCCACTTCTGTTCAACATAGGATGGAATCTGCACAGCAACAGACAGGAAAAGAAATCAAAGTACCAATGGGACAAAGATCAAATTTCACTGTGCTGATATATGATATGTACTAGAAAACCCCAAAGATTCACCAATCCTGAACTGATCGAGACTTAGTAAAGCTAGGATACAAAATCAAACCAGAATCAGAGCATTCAATACCAACACAATCTAATGAAACCAAACAAGACTCAATCTCACAATACAACAAAAATAAAGACTAGGAATAACTTAACGAAGACGTAGACCTCACAGGAATGACACGAGGAAGAAATACAAGATAAAACAGAGAACCATACATAGCTCGTGGACGCAACCAATATCACAAAAGCATAATAACCCAACTGATCACAGAATTCAACCAAGACCTATAAATCCCATCCACATCGTCACAGATACTATAAAAAATAATAACTCGTATCGACCAAAGAAGACGAAAATCAAACAATTCTTGCAACAAAAAAAATGGGAGGCATTAATAGCCAATATCAAACATATACAAAGCCTGTATAAAAACCAAAGGAGCACAAATTGAAATGACCAGGCTACCGATTAAACCGAGATAAAACCATCTCATATACGCCTCTAATCTTTGACAAAGCAGGACAAAACAATGCGGAAAAGAAGCCCTTCAATAAATGGCTGGAAAAACGGATACCACCGAAAGCAAAACAGGACCACACTTTACTTCTCACAAAACACCTCACGCGATAACAACTAAACCTAATTATGAAATATTAAACCTAGAGAAAAAGTGGAAACACTTCTAGACATCGCCTGGAAAAGGTTTAAAGAAGTCCCCAAGCAAGCACACACAACAAAATAAAAATGCCGATCAAACTACAACGTCTGCACACCCAAAAAAAGTCATGAAGAAACAGACAACCTACAAATGAAGAATGTTGCACCTAAGTACCTACTAAGGACGGATAACTAGAATTACTTAAACCACGAAAATCAGGAGAAAATAATATAACCCATTAAACAGTGCAAAGACTAACACTTTCTAAAGAAGACAGGAAAATTCCAACAAACATAATAAAAACTCACATCCCTAACTCAGGAAAGCAAATCAAACCACAAGAATATATTCCCCAATGAGAATGCCTTTCAAAACCCAAACAAAAATCGCGTGGTCGAGAGACTAGAACACTCCTACACTGCGGAGCAAACAGTCAACCTGTGAAAGCAATAGGGAACAAAGCATACAAGAATCCATCATTTGATCCAGCAATCCATTGCTGGCACTACCCAAATACCGATACACTCTACAAAAAATTCACTCACCAATCTTTATACAGCACAATCATAATCAAGGCATCGAAACAGCCCAAGTGCCCATCAATCCAGAGATAAAATGGGTAATATACCATGATATATTCAGCCCTAAAACAATGTAAACAATCATATTATCCGGTAAGCGAACCCATACTATTAGTAAGTTCCCAAGAAAGAAAAAAAGCACCAGATATATTCTCCAGCCAAACAGTATAACTGAACACCTAATGGAACAAAGACACAGTAAGAGGGATAGCATGGAGGGAAGCGGGTAAACATACATAATGAGAAGTCACCATACGGGATGTCTGATGGAGACTCAGACTTTTGGGGGGAGGGGGGGAAATGGGCATTTATTGAAACCTTAAAATCTGTACCCCCATAATATGCCAAAATAAAAAAAAATATATCTCTTTTGTCTGACTCCCCGCAAAGTGTACAACAGACTCCATCCTGCATTTTGCTTTCTCCTTGAGAAACACTCCCTTATCGCCCAAATCCTGTCGCAAATTCCACCTTACTGCTTGCTTTCTTCAGAAATATTGCTAATGACTGAGGACAGGTCAATATCAAATTCTACTTATTCTTTCCCACTCAGAGCATTTTCTTATTTCTGCACTTGCTGTCTAAAATAACCCTTCTGGAAATCATGAAAGAATGCCATCCCTATTTTGATGTCTCTAACCTCTGGGGCTGCCCTCCAACTGTTTTTCTTTGGTGAACTGATCAAAAGTCCCTGGCTAATTATATCATCTGGGAAGCAGACAGAGGCAGGGGGATGTGGGAGCCAGTGACATTCATACTAATTTGGCTTCAGCTACTATATCGCCACCGTGCAAAGAGGCTGATTCTTCTTTGGACGTTGACCAGAAAGAAACAAGAGGGAGAATGAACACAACCAAGACAAACAGGCTGCTATTCCTGGACACATAAAAATATAACTTTGGAAGTGGTTAAGCAAGGAAAAAATATTTTTTAACTCCCACCACAACATTTGTCAGTCTAATCTCTTCCTGAGTAAACAGTTCTCTGTTGGAGCGGAATGATCCGAGAAGTCTTTCAACTAAATGGCCTTTTGTTTGTTACCAAGGTTATCTATCCCTGTGGATTGTCGTCTCTGGTCACTTGCTCCTCCGAGTTTAAGGCAAAGGCATCAATTGCGCCCATATAATCCCTTCATTTTAAGAGAAGGGGAACAGGGATAAGTCATAAGACATTTAAGTGCTGGGAAACTTCTTAGCCTGAGTTTTCTTTCTCAGGAGTCAGCTTACTCCACAAGTGCCTTTATTCATGTGGGATATAATGTTATTTCATTTTCCTCTGGTCATCTTACATCCCTGGAGAGAGCTTGACTCATGATATAATTATATGCTTGGCCAGTTCCCACTGAGAGCCACTCCAGACTGCCACTGGCCAGCCCCCGCCCCCACTGATCTTGCATTCTGATGTCAAAGAGAGCAGAACTCTGCCCAAAGCAGAGCGACACATTTTTGCCAAACAGCTAATTATTAGGTTCTCAGAGAGCAGTTTGCAAGGCTGTTCTCTTTCCTCCAAGGGGGACGTTGAGCCCTGGAGGTTAATGACTCACTGCAGAACCAGCCCGATTTGTGGTCTGTTGGGCTGGTCAGCACAGCCTGCCTAGTTCTCTTTGTTGGTTTGTAAAAATGTTTCCTGGAGGAAAGATTTTTAAATGTTTCAGTATTAAGACTTATTTTACAGAAAATATGAATAGTGCCATCAGAGTTGTGTATAGCATAGTCTTGTCTAAGGCCACCTTGGACACTATCATAACAGCCCCTCATAATCAATGCTTGTTACCTGCCCTTTCATGCCACTTGCCCTGAATGAAGATCAGTCGGTGCTGCAGAATCCTAGCTCTAGGGGGTCATGGAGAAACCATCTTGTCTAGCTGCTTGATTTCAAATAAGTAAATGGTCTTCTCATTTTAGCAATTATTTCTAAGACTGGAAGCTCCTTAACCAAACCGTTTTGAGAACCATAGCCCAACTGATGTTATAGCAGTCAATGTCTTTTTTTCATTCTTGTGCCTACCACAGATCCAGATGTTTCCATTGGATCTATTTTTTTCTAGTCTCCAAGGCTTTAAGGTTCATGTCAAATCTCACTTTCTCAGAGAAGCTTTTCCTGATCCTCTAATCCAATTTACATGTTCCCTGTCATTTGTTTAAACCATAGCACCCAGTTCTTTTTTCATAGCTCTTATGATAATTTGTAATTATATATCTTATGTGATTAAAGTATGTTTCTTTCTCCTAGATTGCAAATTCCACAAGCAAAGACATATCTGCTTCTTTTTTTAAAATTTTACTATTAAACCAGAGGTTTCACGTAGCACCTGGCACAGTTAGTTCTCAACATACATTAATTATGATTAACATTATTATCATCATCATTAATAAACTTTTCAGCATCCACACAACTTCATTCTTCATTCTTTTGAAAAATATGACCATTCCTCTCCTCTATTTTTTCCCATTTTGCTTTTAGACTTACTTCTGCAGGTGCCATAAAAGATCCTAGATCCTGTCTACATGGAAAACCATGAGAGAATATATCTCTATCATTTTAATGTTTTGTCCTCCTCATGACCATGGGGCTGATCCAAATTGCCTCATCTTCACAGTACACTTGCATTTAGAGTACCCAAAACACTGCGTCAAAATAGCCTGTTTTATTTCTACCCATTATTCTCTTTACCCCAAATGATCTCCCTGAATTGGCTGGCAAGCATGCCACGGGGTGACCTTGTGTTGCTACTGCCTGAGACTAGGCCATGGGGCCCAGTAAGAAAAGAAGTCAAATGGTCTGAAATAAGGGTCAGTCCAGCCCAGCTCCTCCTGGCGCAGGCTGGTTCTGAGTTACCCAGGAGGGCAGTTCTCTGAACACAATGTGACCTTCCACCCTCCACTCCTCAGCTGCCTTTGCTAACTCACAGTTCCTTCCAAGGCCCCAGGAAGAAAGGGCCTCATAGTGCTTTCATGCCAACTGGCCTCCCCTACACTGCTCTTAAGATCTGACAGTCATCTTACCTGCCTCCTTCTGAGGAGCTCCTTGAAAGACTCTGTTCTTGGAGGCAAGATATCCATGCTTTCATCTCAGCTCCGCCACGTATGAAGTATGTGTGTTTGAGACAAGGATTTTGCTTCTCTGAGTCTCAGATACTGTACCTATAAAATAAGGATAAAGCTCATAAAGTTGTTAAGTCTTTCATAAAGTTGTTGTGATCATTTATATAATAATATTATACTGACAACAATAATAACGCTTCTGAAAGCACAGTGCCTAGCACTTCATAGAATCCCCATGAGCATTTATAGTATCTATTGAACCAAGATACCCAGGATAATTCATAAGCTGGTTGAAATGTGATCTTTAACATTTTTATCAATATCATCAAATATTTTTTTGAACTACCATTCCTGCCAAAGGACTGGAAATGTAATTAAGAAAAAGGTGCTGCCCTTAAAGAGCTTCTGATTTAGCCGAAGAGACATATCAGAAAGATTGTGTGGCCCATGGCAATACAAAGTGATGTTCACGGAGCATCCGATGAATGGCCTAAAAACAAATGCCTCAAATATCACAGATGACAACTATTCCTGAGGGTGGAGCTATTGTAGAAATTTTGGGGAAGGATACTAACAATGCTTTTGTTTCATTTACACTCCAAAATTCAGTGGCTTAAGAAAAATGATTTATTACTGTTCATGATTCTGTGGATTGGCTGTGATGTCCTTCTGCTGGTCTTCTCCAGGCTCACTCCAGAGGCTGCATTCACTTAGAGGGTCTGCTGGTCCAGCAGCTCATGATGGCTATTGACCAGGGGTCTTGGTTCTCCTCTATGTAACCTTATATCCTCCATTAAAGCCACTCTGATGTAGTGCATGGAGGGCTCAGAATAGCTTTCTTAGAGGGTGAAAGTAGAAGTTGTAAGGTCTCTTGAGGCTCAGGCTGCAAAACTTACATGATATCATTTCCACTTCAGGAGTCTAGTCCAGATTTAAAGGTGAGAAGAGGAGTGGCAAAGTCACACTGCAAAGAAGCATACATATCTGGATAAGAATCGGTGACCATTAAAAAAATCTATCAGAGCTTAGTTTTGCAATTATACGAATGTAGATTTTCCTTATCGCTACATTGTCCATCCTTTGGGGGAAAAGTAAGATGATTTATGAAATGTTTGCAGTGACTAATACAGAGTCTTGCACAAAGTGGGATCTCAATAAAGATATGTAAATAAATAAATGAAGGAACAAATTGTGACCAGATATATTATTATAAATATGCATACTAATAGTGCAATAATAAAAATAATACTGCTAACCTCCACTTCTGGCATGACAGAGCAACAGAAACTAGATAGAGTCTCTTAATTTAAACAATGAAATAATTCAGAAAATATATAAAACAACAGTTTCCAAACAATAGGCTGTACAGGACAGTGACCCCTGAAGGAAAGGAAATGAGCACTATGGGAGTTTGAGATTACTGCCCCCGAAGAGTTTCCAGGGTGTAACCCAGGGAAGGGAGAGCTAAACAGAGCCTGGTAGGACCCTGAGCTAAGAAGACAGAGTTCAAAGTTCAAGGAGTCCTGGGTAACTAAAATTCACAGAGAAGACTTCCAAAGGACAGTGGCAGAGAGTGGGCCCTGGAGATGTGCATGTTATCCTTCAGTCTTCAGCTGAGGACAGATTCGTAAAAGCTTACTAAGCAGCTATCAAGGCCAGGGAAAAAACAAGTAGAAAAAGCAGGCAGAAAAATCTCCAGAGCTCACACAAGCCTTGAAATAGTTAGAAGTTCCACTATCTACAGTGGAAAGATTCCACGTGAGGCATTAGAGTTCTCAGAAGAGTATAGACCTCAGAAGTGGGTCCAAATTAGCCATAGACTTAAGTCTGTTCTGGATCCATCTCACTCAGCTTTAAAGCAAACCACAAAAAGATCAAACTATTTCTAAGTAATCTAAATACATCCTCACACAAAAATATATAAAGGAATATTTAAAAAACGAAATCCAGCACACCATAATGTAAAATCTGACATCCCATAAAATATTACCAGGCAGGCAGAGACACAGGAAAATAAAATCCATAACAGGGAACAAATTCCATCAATCAAAATAGATCCAGAAGGGACACAGATAATAAAATCACTATATAAAAATGTAAGAACATCTATTAAAATGAAATTCCACATGTTTAAGGTGGTAGAAGAAAGCAGGAACATAATAAGGGTACTTATGGAAGATATTTATGGGAAGATAGTTATATTTTAGAAAATATAGAAAATATTTTTGAAGGCTTGAATTAAAGTTTTAAGATAAAAAATATTACACTTGATTCTTTTTCCCAAGATGGCAAAGCAGAGAGGCTTTTCTATCATACCTCAGCCACTTGAAAGAAACAAAAAAGTGTGTAGAGAGTCACACCATGAATTTTTACCCAAGAATAAACACAGGAATTCAACAGAAGAAAGAAAAGGACACTTCGGACCCTGGGGAAGAGAAGGGGGGCCTGTGTGGCCAGGTCCAGCTGAGAACTGTGAGTGAGTGTAGACTCACTATGAGGGGGTATTTCTCTATGACTCATCTTTCCACAGGAGAGCACCTTGTCCCTCCCAAGCACTGGATCTAACTTAGTGAGTTAGGCCGGGAGACTGTGAGCAGGAATGGCACAGGGAGTGCCCCAGGCATTTTCACAGACCTGGGAGTTGATAGGAGGACACCATTCCCGATCCTGGCCCCTAGCAAGCTGGGCAGAACCCTGTGACCGAGTGGAGGCAGCCATGGACATTACATAGTCTCAGGCGGGGGGTTGGAGTGCAATGTCCCAAGCAGGGGAGGGATCCCTATAGCAAGAACTGAGAGGTGAATGTGTCCTTGGTTCCAGCCACTTGTGTTGGAATTTTCTCCTTTCCTCCAATCATGGAACCAGAGCAAGAGATTGCCTGAGAGGCATAGTTTTGGCCCAGGCGGCAAATTTTGTGCCAGGCTCTTTAGTAGACTAAAGGCAAACAACGTGTGACTTTACTGAGTGTCCCATATGGTTCCCTGGATCAGGATGGTGGAGTGAGGCCCACTGGGTCTGGGAGAGTGAGAGAAAAGGGGTCTCACTCCTGCTTACATGGCCTAGGGACTGGAGCCACCTTTTCCTCCCATGCTGGGAAATTGGTGCAGCAGCAGTTGCTCCACTCCTCTCCTGGGCACAGCTCCAGGGACCTGGTGACTGCTCCAGACCCCTGTCAGGGCCAGTGCTTGCATCTGCTATGAGTGGCCCAAACTGCTCAGTCCAGCTCTACCCACCTTAGCTACCATCCCTTATCCCCATGGAGACTGAGCACAGGACCCACACCACTGAGCATTCTATAGCCCATTACCAGAAACACTGGGGAGTGCTTCTTCTGTAAGCAAAGTCCAAGCATAAACCCTACTTCTGCCAATACAACTGGCTCTTACTTGCAAGCACCACCTAGAGATCAACCTCCATAGCCCAATAGAAAATCTGCTGACAAAAGTGAGTAGTGCTTGAGAAGGAGGTAAGCTTCTTGTGACTTCTGCTGCCACCATCACTCAGCCACCCAGGCTACTCAGGAGATTGTGAGCCTACTTACCTGCCCAGTACACTGCTATTGCAACTGGCATTGGAGACAGTCAACACACTGAAGCTATTTATAACCAAGGAAATAATACAGAGTCTTTGCCAGTGAAAGCACCCATAAGCAAAGCCAAACAGCCCTACTGAACAAGCGTTATAGTCACATCCTCAAGTTGAAAAAAAAAAAAAAAAAAAGCCTGGCCCCAACTAAAGTAAATTCAAAAATAAGAAGAGACAATTATTTCTCTGGATGAGAAGAAATCAGCATAATAATTCAGGAATTATAAAAAAGTAAAGTATTATGACAGCCCCAGAGGAATACAGTAACTCTCCAGCAATAGATCTTAATCAAAAATTGAAATGCCAGGTAAAGAATTCAAAATATTGATTTTAAAGAACTTCAATGAGCTGCAAGAAAAATTTGAAAACAAGTACAAAGAAATCAGAATATCAATTCAGAATATGAACAAAACATTTATCAAGGAGATAGATAAATTTTAAAAAAAACTTTCAGGGATGAAAAATTCAGTGAAGGAATTACAAAATATATTTGAAATCTTCCATGATAGACTAGTCAAGCAGAAGAGAGAATCTCAGAACTTGACGATAGGGCTTTTAAATTAATACAGTCAGATAAAAATAAAGAAAAAAAAAGAATGAAGAAAGCCTTTTATAAGTATGAGACTACATAAAGCAACTAAACTGATGAACCATTGGTATTCATGGGAGAGAAGAAAAAGAAAAAAATTATAAAAACCTATTTAAGGATATAATTGATGAAAACTTACCAAGTCTATCATGAAATTTAGACATTCAGGTACAGGAGGCCTAACAAACATCATAAAAATACACCAAAAGATGGACTTCACCATGACATATAGTCATCAGACTGTCTAAAGTCAAGGTGAATGGGGGAAAAGTCCCAAAATTATCAAGAGAAAAGCTACAGGTCACCTATAAAGGAAAAGTCATCAGAATAACAGCAGACATCTCAGCAAAACCATACAAGCCAAAAGAGATTGAGACTTTATTTTCAAAGTACCAAAGGAAAAAGCTGCCAGACACTAAGCTTCATAAATGAATGAGAGATAAATAAAGTTTTTCCCAGAAAAACAAACGCTAAGGGAATTCATCATCACTAGACTGGCCCTACAAAAAAGTGCTCAAAAGAGTCCTAAACATGGAAATGAAAGGTGAATAATTGCCATCGTAAAGACACACAAAAGTATAAAATTCACAAGTCTTACAAAACAATTACACAAAGGAAGAAAAGAAAGAAATCAAATGCCAATATGACAGAACTCTACTAAACCACAAAGACAAAAAAGAAGAAACAAAGAGTTTATAAAACAACTAGGTAACAATTAACAATATGACAGGAAAAAAATCTCACATCTTAATATTAACCTTGACCATAAATGGATTAAATGCTCCACTTAAAAGTTATAGATTGGCAAGATAGATTAAAAAACATGAACCAACTATATGCTGCTTACAAGAAACTCACCTTATCTGCAAAGACACTCAGACAGAGAGTAAAGGGGTGGACAAAGATATTCCATGTAAACAGAAACTCAAAGTGTGCAGGAGTAGCTATATTTATATCTGATAAAACAGACTTTAAATTAACAATAGTAACAAAAGAAAAAAAGGACAATGAAGTTAATTATATAATGATAAAGGGATTAATTTAGCAAGAGCATATGAAAATCTTAAATATATATGTACTTCACACTGGAGCACCCAAATTTATAAAACAAATACTACTAGACCTACAGAAAGAGATAGACAGCAATACAATAATAGTGGGGGACTTTAGCATCCCACTCACAGTACTAGACAGATTGAGATAGAAGATCAACAAAAAAACACTGGACATAAATCAGGCATTAGATCAAGTGAGCCTAACAGACATTTATAGAACATCTGTCCAACAACCATAGAATACATATTCTTCTCATCAGCCCATGGAACATTCTCTCACATAGACCATATGTTAGGCCCAAAACAAGTCTCAATAAATTTTTCAAAATAGAAATCATATCAAATATTTTCTCAAGCCAGAATGGAGTAAAACCAGAAATCAATACCAAGAAAAACTTCACAAACTATACAAATACATGGATATTAAACAACACACTCCTAAACAGTCTTTGAGTGAATGAAAAATTAAGACAAATTTAAAAGCAGTGCTAAGGGGAAAGTTTATAGCAGGCATCCTCAAACCATGGCCCTGCAGGCCACATGCAGCCCACCGAGGACGTTTATCCGGCCCGCCTAGTGTTTTTGCCACTGCTGCCTGTCCTGCTTAGCAGCAGACTCATCCTGACCCCACAGTGTGTATGTGTGGAATGTGTGCTGCACTCTTCAATGGCCCTCCAACTGTGAACTGGCCCCCTGTTTAAAAGTTTGAGGACCCCTGGTTTATAGCATTAAATTCTTACATCAGAAAAAAAAATAGAAAGATCATTAATTAACAACCCAATGTCACACCTTGAGGTATTAGGATAACAAGAATAAACCAAACCCAAAGCTAGAAGAAGAAAATAAATAACAAAGATCAGAGCAGAAGTAAATAAAATTGAGACACAAAAAATACAAAGGATCAATAAATCAAAAAGTTTGTTCTTTGAAAAGATAAATAAAATTGATAAATTGCTAGCTAGACTAACCAAAAAAAAAGAAAAAGAAAGAAGATCCAAATAAAAAAATTAGAAAGGAAAAAAGAGCCATTACAAGTGATATCACAGAATACCAAATATCATCAGAGACTATTATAAACAATTATGATACACTCACAAATGAGAAAATTTAGAAAAAATAGATGAATTTCATTTATGTAAAAGTTTAAAAAGTGTCATCTACTTTATATTGACAGAAAGTAAACCAATGATAACCTTAGTATAGGGACCCTGGGGAGGGAGAAATGAATTATTAATACAAAGAAGCATTAGAAAACTCCGAGAGTGATGGAAATGTTTATTATCTTAATTATGGTAATGGGCACATGGGAATATTCATATGTCAAAACATCAAGTTATACACTTAGATATGTGTAGTTCATTATACGTCAATTATACTTGAATAAAGATTCAAATGTTAACAATAATATTAATACCTAATAATTAAAGGGAGATTATTATGTGCTAGATTAGCAGTTCTCAAACTTTTTCATCTCAAGACCCTTTCACACTCTTAAAGGTTATTGAATATTCCAAAGAGTTTTTGTTCATATAAGTTTTATCCATCAATATTTACCATATCAGAAAATAAAATAGAATTTTTCAAAATGTTTAAAACAACAATAACAAAGTCATGTCTACAAAAGATGATAGCAAAAGATCTACCCCACAGAGTTGTGATAGCACTTAAATTTGGCAGAATGCCTAGGACCCAGGAAGGCTCAGCAGATAGTAGCTATCAACATATAATCTCATACTCTAAATAATTAAGAAATGTGCTATATTTTATTCAGCTATGTAGAACAGATTGTAGAACCAAAATTCTACTCTACCTATAGACTTAGCAATAGCCTTAAACATCTATGGAACATCATAAACAGAATTTATCAGCTATGAGAACATAGCATATGATTTTTAAAGGTATTAGGAATACATTTGACATTAACAAATTATTCAACAATGGAATAGAAAAAATTGGCTAACAACGCAGGAAAAAAGTCAACATGAAATCATCTCAGATCACACATTAAAATAAATTCTGACTGTAAGAATAAGAAGAATAAGAATAGGAAAAAGAATTTTAAGTTTAAAAGCAGTGGGAAAACTTACAAAGAAAAATAATTTAACTTTTACAAGGACAAAAAAACAAATTTCTGTAGGTAAAACTCATATTATAAAGAAGTAACCATGTGAGAATTTCATATCTTCAGTTTGAAATAAAGCAAATTTTTTGTTATATTAAATCTTTATTATTTATGGCATCTGTCAAATAGATGAAATATATAAAATAACTAAAGAATTATTATAGTATAGTAGTATTAGAAAATTTAAAAGTATTTTATTTACTTGATAAGATAAAACTAACCTTTTAGAAATACAGCTGTTTTTATTTTTTAAATGAGGAACCTGTGGCAGTTTCTTTTTCTTTTCTTTTCTTTTTATTTTTGTCATTGGAAAACTCAATCTTTCCATGATTTTATTTTTTAAAATTTAATTGTAGGCCGGGCGCGGTGGCTCACGCCTGTAATCCTAGCACTCTGGGAGGCCGAGGCGGGCGGATTGCTCAAGGTCAGGAGTTCAAAACCAGCCTGAGCGAGACCCCGTCTCTACCATAAAAATAGAAAGAAATTAATTGGCCAACTAATATATATATAAAAAAAATCAGCCGGGCATGGTGGCTCGTGCCTGTAGTCCCAGCTACTCGGGAGGCTGAGGCAGGAGGATCGCTTGAGCCCAGGAGTTTGAGGTTGCTGTGAGCTAGGCTGACGCCACGGCACTCACTCTAGCCTAGGCAAGAAAGCGAGACTCTGTCTCAAAAAAAAAAAAAAAAAATTTAATTGTATATAGTTAAGGTACATAACATGTTTTGATATACATATACATAGTGAAATGATTACCACAATCAAGCCAATTAGCATATCCATCATCTCACCAGTTACCTTTTTTGGTGTATGTATGGTAAGAGTACCTAAGCTCTACTCTCTTAGCAAATTTATAGTACATACAATATTAATAACTACATTCCTCATGCTGTATCTTTGATGTCTAGACTTATTCATCCTGTTTAACTGAAACTTTATACCCTTTAACTGATGTCTCCCCATTCCCTTCCCACCCCACAGTCCCTGGTAACCACTCTTCTACTCTCTGCTTTTTTATGAGTTCAACTTTTTTATATTCCACATATAAATGAGGTCATCAAGTATTTTTCTTTCTGTGTCTGGTTTATTTCACTTAACCTAATGTCCTCCAGGCTCATCCATGTTGTAACAAATGGCAAAATCTCCTTTTCTAAGGCTAAATAATGTTCCATTTTGCACATGTGCATGTGTGCGTGCGTGCGTGTGTGTGTGTGTGTGTGTGTGTGTGTGTGTGTAAGAGAGAGAGAGAGAGAGACATTTCTGTCATCTATTCATCCACTGATGAACACTTATTTGATTCCATACTTTGGCTATTGTGAATGATGCTGCAGTAGACATGGGAATGGAGGTATGTCTATGAGGTGATGATTTAACTTCCTTTAGGTATATACCCAGAAGAAGGATAGCTGAGTCACATGCTGGTTCTATTTTTAATTTTTTGAGGAACTGCCATACTGTATTTCATAATGACTGCACCTGTAAATATTTTTAAACTAAGCACTTATTAGATAAACATGTTGAATATGTAATTCACAAATGAGAAAAAAGCATGCTCAGCCTCACTAACAAGGACAAATGCATGTATATATGTGTTTGCGCACACAAATTTCAAACAAAGATATACATTTTCCTTGCCCAACCAGGGATTTTTTTATGTTAATAACATTTTCAAGGGTGCTAACAATGACTTTGAAGAAACAATTAGGATTCTTCTTTCTTTACTAGTGTCAGAAACTCAATTCAAATCAAATTAAATAAAGAACAAGAGAAAGAAAGGATGGGAGGAAGGGAGAGGAAGAGAAATTAATTTGTTGGCTCATCTAAGTGAAAAGAGCAGGAGTAGCATTAGCTGGCTTTACTCACGGGGTCCCAGCCGTCCCAAAGGCAGCCAGGGTTCAGCCCTCCCCTCTCAGTGCCTCAGCTCTGCTTCCCGCTGTGTTGGCCCACGCTCGAGCAGTCCGTCTCCATGTAGTAGGAAATGCGATCCAGTGTATCTGGTCTTCTTCATAGCTCACAATTTTGAAGGAAAAAAGAGAAACTCCCCTTTTTGAAAAACCTCGGGTGGCCCAGCTTGGGTAACATGCAAAGCCCAGGTGAGTCACTGAGCTGTTGTAGTTGCTCATGTTGCTGTCTCCGTGGGGAGCCATGGAAGAAGGCTCTCAGGGCTGCTGTGCCGATGGGCATGCCAGTCTGCAGAGGGTGCCGCACAATTCCCATAGTGGGAGGGAGAGTGAGTCCTCAAAAAGCAGGGATACCAGGAAAACAACTCATTTATAGACACGCGTTATAGGTAATTTTTTATGTTTCTGTTTTTCCTGTATTTCCAATTTCCTAAAGCTCATATGTGCTATTTGTAATACCAAAGCAAAATTAAAAATTAAAAAATAGTCAGCAAAACAGCTTTTCTTCATGCAGTATAATTTGATGGTCACCATATGGACGCGGGTGCCCAGGCGCACTGAAAGGTGAGCAGGTAGGGTACTGTCTTCAGAATAGCCTCCAGGGACAAAGGCTACAGAGCAAGGAGAGAAGAATGTTACTCAAGACTACCTGAGGTGAGTTGTGGGTGGCGGGTGGGAACTTCAGATGAACTGAAGCTATAATGAAATGAACAACAGAACTGCTTAAATCTAAAAGTCAAGGAATACAAACAAAGAAGTTGAAACTGGTAGGTTCTCTAACGAGGAAGGGATCACTTCTTTAAAAAGGCCACATTAGGTTAAGGCAAATTTAACTCAATGTTCTATGTTTCTATAGCTTAAAATGATATGCACGAGGCCTGCTGTGTGGTGCTTGTCTGGAGGAAGAGAACGAGATTTATACCTTTGGGGCATGGAAGAAGACAGATAAAAAAGTACTTGAGGGCTTTTTATGTGTTTCTGCCCTATACCCCCTTACACTCTGTTTTTTGGGAGGCGGATTGAAAGATTAGATCCAAAAGGTAAAGTAACCTTTTACCTGAGATGCCATGTGAGACAGCACAAGTGGCCAAACCGGTTCCAACCTCCCAGTGACGGATTTCAGTTCAGAAGAAATGAAAGGGAAACTCTCCACCCCCTCCACATCTCCACAGAAAACCACAGTATGGTTAGGCTGAGAGAACACATGCTTTTGTACAACTCAGGTCTCTAACTATTTAGGTTATTAAATATGAAATGTCTGATTTCCTTAAGTACTAAGTTTGACAGTTGATATCTCTGACATTTCACTTTGACACTTCTTGTTTTATTTTTATTGTGAAGGTACATCCTCAGTCTTTCAAATGCACATTTTGGCTTGTAATTATCTTGAAAAAAAATTTTTAGAGAAATTTTTGTGAAACCATGGATAAGTCAAAAGTTTGTGTCATTTTTGAATATGAGTTCTATTGTAGAACCAATGCAGCGCAGATAGCTTGAAATATCAATGAAGTGTTTGGGAATGATGAACACACAATATGTCGATGGTTTGAGAAGTTCCATTCTGCTAGTTTTAATCTTGAAAATGAGCCACGTGGGCTACCTGAGACCAAGGTGGATAATGATAAACTGAAAACCGTAGTGGAAGCTATTCCATCTCAACCTATGTGTGAATTAGCAGCAAGGTTTGACATTTCTATTTCAACAATATTGACCATTTGGAACAAGTGGGCAAGGTAAAGAACCTGGATAGATGGGTTCTGCATGAATTGAACAAGTGTCAGAAGAGAAATCCTCTCCAAGCTTGCCTTTCTTTGCTGTCACAACATAAAGGTGAACCATTTCTACATTATATTGTTATGTGTGATGAAAAATGGATGCTTTTTGACAATTGCAAGCATTCAGTACAATGGTTGGATAAAGACCACCTCTGAGCGGCTTTCAGGCAGCAGATGACACAAGACTCCAAGGGAAAGAAGAGAACTGAATGTTTGAGGCATCCTAGACTCCATAGAAAGATGACCAAGTTGCAGGAAGCGCATCCTTACATCAACTCACCCTCTGCATTAACAATATTCACAGTCCAGGATCTGGTTGGCAAAGCCCCCGGGTCCTGTAATACAAATGCATCCTGCCCATAGTGTGAAGTGGAAATTCAAACTTATCATTGAGTGGGCTCTTCTGTCTTCTTACCATTCTCACTTATTGTCCATTTTCCACCCAGTATCAGCTATACTTTTTCTGTCTTTATGCAAAACCCTCAGTTCTAGAGCACCTCATTCTGTCCAAAGAAGGAATGAGATTTCCCAGGATTTTTGCAAGGTGATAGGGGTCTCCACAGATCTCAGAAATCCCATGAGGTAGCCAGATCCAGAAATACCTGCCAATCAGCTTTACATCTGCTGATCTCACTGCAGCCAAGCCACGCACCATACACAGTTGTATGAGATTCTATGATGTCTGTTTTGAGATCTTACCTTGGTTTGGGGCCCTTGGAATAAATTTCAAAAACTGACTCACAAAAGGGGAATAAGAAGAAAAAGAAAGAAAAGGAAAAGATGAAGAAAAGAAAGGAAAAGGAAGAGAAAAAGAAAACAGCTAAGTAGCCTAAATTACCTTTTACCTTGGTTAATCTCAAAGTTGATCACCAAGGGCAGAAATTATTGTAAGGATGATGGTGATGATGACAATGATGATGAAGAAGAGGAAGAGAGGATGGGCAGGAGGCAGGTCTATTTCAAAGCTGCTTACCAGGTACTATAGGCAAAGCCTTAGTCAACCACTAAGTGGAATTATTATCATGATGAATCTGGTATGAAAGTCTTGAAACTGCCCTACTTAAAAAAAACCACTACAGAGATTGCTGCTCAGTCTTTCCCGGGCTAAATGTACACCTTTCTGACTTCAGGAATGCTCATGCTATCCTGTGGCCTAAAGGAAAACTCATATCTTGCCTGCCTACAGATGACTGCTGAATCACTTCTATAACTAGAAGCTAAAATTTTGGAGAAACTTTTATAAGTTTCAATTGATTTAGACAAGCACAAGAGTTTCTACTACTCAGAAATAGGTTAAAACTTAAGTTAAACATGTTGATAACTATGGTTTTTTTTAACCCTGTTACAAGTTAAGCTTCAATTTAAAATTGAATGATCTTTGAAAACCTTTCAGTCTTTCCACGAAAAACAAAAGATTCGACTTGGTTAAGCAGTCTAACTAGCTTAATTAGTATATCCTTCTTGCATAATTTCTAGTGTTTAAAATCCCATGGGCAAATGGCAGACATTGAATAAAATATGAGAACAGCCCACAGAGGCCCTGGAATCCATGTCATAATTCAAGTCAATCCTGGGCTCCAAACTCATTGCCTTGTAAGGAAACAGCTTTTCAGAGTACAGATATTGGCTATTTACCCTTCAAATTTATTTTGTTTTATTGATTTGAACATGGAAGCCAAAAACATGCAACCACCAAAACTTTTAACTCTGTGGATCTTTGTTGTACCAATTTTAGGTACTCTTGCTAACATGCCAGTATCAATGAAGAAAAACAGCAGTAAGAAGAAAAATGAAAACATATTAAAAAAAATCTCTTTGCAAGCAATCTCTTACTTAGTAGAAGCCACAACTTTATGACTTTTTCAGCAGAGACAGAAGTGTATTTTCTAATTCTCTCATTCTTTTGGGGGATTAAAGCCACACTATGAAGCAATGGGCTGTCAATCAGTCATAAAAAGCTTAACAGATGATGACAAGAATATGATCTACAACAGCATTTTTAAACCATAGACTAATTCTTAACTCTCCAAACTCCTCATAGCAAAAAGAGCCTTCTGCAAAACAAGGAAGGGTTAAAATCTTAGAAAGGAGAGGGAATACTTTGTGTTGCTGTCCATCCTCCAATCTCATCCAAGGTGAATATTGCATACAAATTTATATTTGTGAGGCACCCTCATCTACCAGTTAATCGAAGCCCTAGAAATTCAAGGGAACCTGTATTTATGGAAATCTGGCATTTCTGTAAAGTTTTGAATGAGGGCTAAATAGAGCAGTTCATCTCATTTTGCAACTGATGATTCCTGCCAAGTGGTTTTCCAGTACTGGGTCTTCTGGCCCAGTCAGCATTTAGGAATTCATTTATGAGTTGGGTTAGTCAGAGACTCTGGAATTCAAATTTATGTCTGCAACTCACTGGTTTTCTCCTGATAGGTCTCTGAAAAGAGATTATAATCAATTTAGCAAACCCAGACTTCAGGAAATTTTCATATCCCAAACAGTTTTTCTGGTTTGGAGCTTTGTCCCATTTCTGCAGAAGCCCCCCCCCCCCCCATTGCATGCTGAGCTGCGGAGCCTCACTGGGAGCGAGTCTGACTGTCTGTGGCCTCTCCCGGGCTAGTCCCTCCCTTCAGCACGTCCTCGCTGGTGTGCCGGAATTCACCTCCCTTGAGAGACTTGCCAGTGGCTCATAAAATGGCAGGATATAGACAGCTTCTGTATAGAACTGTCTGCTCCTTGATAGAGGTAACAAAGGCTCTGGTAATTATTCATCCAATTTGTTTTAACGATTTATCTGCTCAGTAATGTTCCAGGAAATTCGAATATGGGTTTGGGGTGTATGCGTGCATGTGTGTGTGTGCTGGCATGCGTATGTGTTTCCCTCGACAAACCCACACTTTGCTTTTTTTGCAAGGCAAAGAGCAAGATTGAGCAGCCTTTCAATGTAACCATAAATTTACTACTTTTTAAAAATCTTCCTTTGAAGTAGTCATCAAATAAATTAGCAAAGCTGGAAACGTGCCTCTAGTTTGTGTTGGCTTTGGGTTTTAGGGAGTTACTTAATAAACAAAAGTCAGTAAATTAAAACGGTAACAAAGTAATTTCAATGATTAATCAAGTGCTAAAACTAGTTTAACCTCTCCTGTTTTACAAACCCTATATCACCCTGACTAAACTAATAGAGGAATAAGACACCCATCTGGAAATCTCATCTGAAATATTAGATTGGGAATCTAAAATTCAGCCAAATAGTATGGCTTGTAGGGATATCCTGTCGCATAATAAATTGCATTAATCTTACTTAAATTTTCCATCTAAATCATGTCCTGAGGCCATATTACTCTGAGGAAACTATGCCTTACTTTAAATGCATTGTGCTACTGAAAACGATATTAAACAGAAGGAGGGGGAGAACTTTTCTTTTTTTTTCCTGCCTGGTTTTCCCAACAGTAAAAAATCCACGTGAAACCTTTTGATTCTTCTGGAAGAACCAATGTCCATTCAAGTCGGCACTAGCTCTTTCCAGTCACTGATAGGAAACAACATCAATCACAGAACACTTTCAGGAACTTTTCTAATTTATCTATTTCTTCCCATCCGTGAACTCTGAATCATGGTGGCTTATGGCAAACTTTTTTGTTTGTTTTGTTTTATTTTTAGGTGGTGGGAAGGGAGCATCCTTTTCTTAGGCTCTTTTTGGCCTTTGCATGTACAGACCTACAACCAGCGCCTTTCCTGAAGATGCTATGACCTTCTTTTTTCTTTCATTATTTTAATGGAAAACATTCTAATGCTTAAATGTTTCGACTATTTGAAAACTTGCCAAGAAGGGAAAAAAT